ATTCTTTCTCTTTCGATTTTTTACGGCTCTTTTGACCGTAAAAAAAATGCCAAGAAAATATCATGACATCGACAAGACATTGAAAATTGACCATATATTTCTTTTCTTTATAAATAACCTTTTAGTTTTTTTTTGGCGCATCCTACCGGCGCGGTCGGACGCGACCGTGAGCTTCCGGCCGCGCCAAAAAAAATTAAAAAAATATTTAGAAAGAAAAAAAAATACACGATCAATCTTCAATGTCTTGCCGATGTCATGATATTTTTTTGGCACTTTTTCGAAATTTTTTTGATGGTCAAAAGAGACGTATAAAATCGAGAGGAAAAGACTAGAGAGAGAGTAGTGAAGGGCAAAAACGTAATTGAGGAGGACGGTGAGTAGTAATAGGGGGCGGTGAATAACAACTCATTCTTGTATATTTGCTAATATTTGCAATGGAGTTTCATTTTTGTAATTAAAAATAATATGTACGGTACGGTGTGCAATTTCCTCAAACATAAATAGCCCATGAATTAAAAGAGTTAAAAAGGCCATTCTCCTTGAATCTTGGCAGGCCTAACTAATCCTTTCCAATCAGGCCCAGTACTTAAAGGCGTGATTGTATATGATTTGTACAGTAAATATCTTATTCAAAACTCAAATTTAACTCAATTTTAACTCAACTCCACTCTATCTCAATATTATCAATATAATTAAATAATATCAACGAATCATTATTACACATCACATCAACTTTAATTTATTATTCATTTACTGACATAATTTTAACTAGCAATCACTTACAATCATTTTCTCCTACTTTTATATTAAATCAACTTTAATTATTTTAACATATCCATTAACAACTAACCATACTAATTTTTTTCAAACTTAACTATAATTAAAAAAAAAAAAAACAACACCGGTTCGGCGGAAGTGAAATCATGATCGATAACGAAGATTGGTATAGGTCAACTATTAGATAGAGTGCCAATCTCGGGCAAAAAAGAAAGCTAGCTATTCAGAGTTGTTTTCTAGTTGAATTCATATCCAATCACCCCTAAATCGTTTTTTGTTGACCTTTTTAATTTTTCTCTCGGCCAATTTACATATACCGATTGTGATGGAGACGAGATCGCCTTGGCATTCTTGGTCAAATACGAGCGACGTCGGAATCGTGCATGAATCTTTCATAACCTTTAGTATTATTATTATTATTATTATTATTATTATTATTATTATTATTATTATTATTATTATTATTATTATTATTATTATTATTATTATTTTGACTAAGTGATGAAATTTAGACTAAGCTTGAAAATCAAAGAGGCATTCAACATTAGCTAAAAACTAGAAACATTATTAGGGGGCATTCAAAAAGTCACAAGAATTCTTATAAATTATGTAATCATATGATGAAGAAGTTGGTGAATGATTGAATAAAATTACATTATTATCGAGTATTCTATACTCTCGTGCCTTTCGTACACTTTTGACTGCATCAGTTGGTATCCAGAGCCCAGCTACACGATCCTCGATGCCACCGAGACGCAACAATGCTGACGACAGGCGTGATGCCGCCATCGAGGCGATGGGGCGTCAAATTGAAGAACTCTCGGTGGGGCTTCAGGACATTCGTTTGGCTCTTGCAACCATTGTTTCAGGCGAGCATGCGAACCGGGACTTTGCCGGGGGACGGCGAGGTCGCGGAGGACATCATGGTGGCCAAGGGGGACGCCGTCCCGGTGGGGCGCCCCACCACCGTCCGCCTCCACAGTTCGACGACGAGGAGTTCTATGAAGATGAATCAGAGTCTGATGCGAATCCTTTCGAGGTTCACGGAGGACGATTCAACGGGGATGAACACGGCACACATCATCGAGAGGATGACGGCGTGCATGGTGACTTAGGCGACCAATCTTTTTAAGATGGCCTGCCAGTCTTTGATGAGGAATCTCAGGATTTCGACCCCGACG